TCTTTTAAACAAAAATAAATCAAAACAAATTCGCCTGAATAACGGGTCAGAATTTGAGTTATTATATTCACATTTCATATATTTTTTTAAAAATATATAATTTTATATACTACGATACAATTTTAAATATTTTAATTTAGAATATTTAAAAATAGTTTTACTTGATATTCTGTTAATTTCTGTTAACTTTTCTAATTTATCAATCAAAATATTAATATTGAAATTATAAATTTATTTTCAAATAATAATAAATTCTTGAAAATTTCCAAAAAAAAAAACTGAAAACTCTCTTAAATTAAATATTAAAATTCAGTTTCATACGAATTTTTTAGTTATTTTTAATTATTTTTTATAAAATTAAGTAGTTTGGAGTAAGAATTATGAAAAACATATCTTTTGGACTTTCGAATTTTTCAAGAATTTATTAAGGAATTTTAGAGAGTTTTCAAAATAATTTGAAAAATGATATAGATTCTAAATAATTCGGTTGGTTCGAATCAATATGGAATTCAAGAATATTAACAGTGTTAATAGTCTATGGTTATCTTTTTTCTTACATTATTTAGCGTAAACAGTAAAACTTCTGATAGTTCTTGAGAGCTCTCCTCTTCGGAACAGCTCGACCTTCACGCCAATGGCGTCTTCTTCTCTTACTTCGTTCCCATGCCTATCCTCGCTCAAAATGACGATTAAGCCCATGGCAGCTCTCACCAATCCCCCAAGAACGAAAACTCCATACGAACTGAAAAAGGGGCAAAACCGTCTCTTCCACAAGCTTCCCTCTGGTCTAAAAATGGAGGTAATCGAACAACGAAGAAGCAAATCCGAAAGAGAGAATCCACCATTGGTGTTTGTACATGGAAGCTATCACGCAGCTTGGTGTTGGGCTGAACATTGGTTACCTTTCTTCTCTTCTTCTGGGTTTGATTCTTATGCTGTTAGTTTACTAGGTCAGGTAAATTCTCAAATCATCAAAGTTTTGATTTTTATGCTGAGTTTCGATTTCCCCAATATCTAGTTAGACTTTCAAGATCATAAAGTTTCAAACTTTGGATTGAAATTGAGTGATTTGTTATCTTTAGGGTGAAAGTGATGATCCTTTGGGAACAGTTGCTGGAACACTTCAGGTACTTGAAACTTGCAATGTGCATTGTCTTCATTGGATAATTACTTGATTCAGCAAGATTCTTACTTGTTTGTGTAGTAGACGCATGCAAGTGATATTGCGGATTTTATCGAATTGAATCTTGGCTCTTCACCTCCTGTTCTTATTGGTCATTCTTTTGGAGGACTCATTGTTCAATATTACTTGGCAAATATTGTAAACAAGCAGACGTTAGGTAAGGTGTATATTCATTGAAATGAGTTTCGTTTTCTGGATCAGGTGTAAGAATGCCTATACGATAACCGATGAGTTTGTTGTTTTTGATTCCAGGAACGGAAAATGCGTTTCCAGAACTTTCAGGGGTTGTACTTGTTTGCTCGGTTCCACCTTCGGGTAATAGGTAAACTTCTCGCAACCTATTGGCTAAACGAATTTAGCTTATATATAACTTCCGGGACTCACTTTGTTGTTCAGCGGCTTAGTTTTACGTTATCTCTTCTCTAAACCTGTGGCTGCTTTTAAGGTAATAATCTTTTTCTGTATCTTGCAAGGATGATCTCAGTGTCATGTTCAACAATGTTTATTACACCGAAATGGGTTATGGTTTTGCAGGATGATGAGGGGCTGAAGGAAACCGGGCGGTTTTATGAGGTTGAACCGGTTTGTATTGAAGGTGTTGCTCATGACATGATGCTAGATTGTTCATGGGAGAAAGGTGCTGAGGTTCTTTTGAGTTGGCTTTGTGGTTTGTCTAAACCGGGAAATTTATCTGCTTAATGGAGTATTTGTGTAGATAGCTGCTTCTCTTTTTTTTTTTTTTCAGGTAAAAGAAAGAAAAGTGAAGTGTTGATTTAGTTTGTGGATATTAAAAATAAAAGTGTGGGACAAAAACAAAATTGCAATTTTCATTTTCAGGCCATAATTTCAGCTTAGATTTGGATTTCTACATTCGCGGAGGCGGTCTGGTTCCTGGTGAGAGCTCGTGGTTCGTCGAAGATTTCTTCAACGTCCACAAAATCATCTCTACGAAATTCAAAGAGAGACCAAATTCAAAAACTTGTAGTTCAGATCACAAGAAACTGAGAAAGATGAGATTGTTTTACCTAAATCAGAGATGAATCATATCGGAGATATTAAACCGGTTGTTAACTAGAAGAAATTGGCGGCAACGAAGATGAGATAGATGAGATCAAAAGATTTCAATATAACTTTACCTCGTCACCTTCTTCGTCATGGAGGATTTTTTTGTTTTGCTGGAGATCAGTTAATCAGTGTGTTGTTCTTCTCTGAAGTTCTGAAGTCTCATGACATGGTGGCTTTGTGTTGTGGCTTTTTTCCATCATATTAATGAACTTAGAGTTGGAGTACTCCACATTCTTTTATCACCGCTTCGTTACCCTGGATGCCGAAAAAAAATAAAAGCTCGTTGCACGTCACATCAGCTTCAAACTCAAAGATGAGCAAATGCTCTCTTAAAATGGGAGGCACGAGAAAGCAATATGCAGGTCTGCATGAAACATCGACGCCAATTTTATCTTTCTCCCTGATGCTCAGAAACACATTTGTTTCCCTAGCGGCGGCCTCCTCCTTGTCATTGTCAACTTTTTTATCCAGCAAGACGCAAGCCTTAAATCTCAAGGTCGTAGAAAGAGGCCTTTGGTTCAAATTTACCATTATGAAACTCCCATTAGCTCGGTAAGTGAAGTTTGCGGGCACTTCTCTAGCGGGTAAGAACGCTGAGGTACTACTACTAGTCTGGATGAATTCTCTCGCTTCATTATTCAGCTTGAAGCAATTAATAAACCTGAGATATCTTTCTGGATGATTGTGAAAGGAGAAATCAAGTCTCTCCAGTGACTGGCAATTTATGGCTATTACATTTGATAAGGAATCTGAAAGTTGTGGGATTGTTACCAGCCTCTTGCATCCCTTTAGTACAAGTGTCTGAAGACGAGAGATTTTCTTAACCCACAGAGGAATTTCTTGTATTTCTGTATCGTTAAAGTAAAGCTTTGTGATGATATCGAGAGCATGTGGGAATTCCTTGAGATTGTCATTGTATGACATTTCCAAGTTACGAAGATGAGACCATGACTTGATCGTCGAAGGCACTTCTTTTATTGCAGTTTTCATGAGCATGAGATCCTTGATGTTTGTGGAGATCTCCGGAAAACTTTTGATCAGTAAGCAAGCGGTGAGATCAAGGTTATTGAGAGATTCCAAGTTGATATTAGTAGGAAGAGCCTCTAGCTTTGAGCATCCTTGTAAGTCTAACGCTTGCAATTTCTGAAGGTTTCCAAGAGAGGAGGGGAGCTCCGCCAAACTTGAGCATCCTTGTAATCTCAACTCTTGCAATTTTTGAAGGTTTCCAAGAGAGGAGGGGAGCTCCGCCAAACTTGAGCATCCAAACAGAGTCAAGTTCTCAAGGTTAGTGGCAGTTGAGAGATTAGGTAACTCTTTTAGGTGTTTAGACTCACGCAAATCCATCCTCTTGAGATTTCCAAGGGGCTGCAGGAACAAATAAAGACAACATAAGAAGACGCATTAAAAATAAATTCAAATAATAACTGAAAAATTAAATTCTTTGTTCATACAACTTATACATATAGTTCCTCCCTTTCCACCAATGATACTAACCATGGAGGGATACTACAATTTAAGCAAGCATAATAAAGACTACAAGAGATAGCCTTCTAAGAAGATCACTCCTTTTTGACCCAATATATTAAAATTGGAGAGAAACACAACAATTCTGTACCTGATTTCCTTGCCACAAGTTCTCAAGTTTGCTGTTCCACATATCTATATGGACTAGATACTTCGTACAAAAATTGGAAGGCAAACATTTCATTGGGAAACGGCTCCATTCTATTAATCTAAGTTTCCGAGGTAGATTATTCAACCCTTGCGGTAAGTACAATTTATCGCTTTGGCCGTCATATGGGCCATGGAATCTTAAGAACTTGAGGTTAGACATTCCTTCAAAAGCTCTCTCACTGATATTTAATTCGCCTGATAGGGTATATACCTCGAAAAGTATACCTATAACATTTCTACTACCCTGTAAAAAGACCAAAGAAGATAGAAAACGAGAGATAATTAGCTATTGAATGAATTTAATTTGTAGAGAACAAGGAAACAAGAGAATAATAATTGAACTAACCGTGTTATCAGTGAGTACTTCACAAATATCTCTAGCATCAACCAAAAATTGACGCTTCCCAGGCGCACAAATGGATTGGTGCCCAGGCTTATGACGGACAATGTCTCTACCTAATTGCACTAATAGATTGTGCATCTTTATATGTGTATAGTCAGCAGAAAAAATCTCTAATGCTATGAGAGATTTCTCAGCTAAGAGGTGAAGCCCTTGCCTCACATCTAAGAAACTTAAAGCAAGATAATCTTTCACCATTCCGTCATTGTTGAAAAGGCAGGCTATATGAAGGAATAAATCTTTATCTTCATCACATAAGGCATCGTAACTGAACTTTAAAATGCTTTGAATACTAGCATCAAGGCGAATCTTTAACCTTGGTAATGCATTTACCCACTCATGCCTAGACATTCCTCGGAAGTGGGATCCCATAACTCTTAGTCCCAAAGGTAGATTACCTAAAAGTTTTGTAACTTGCCATGCAAGCTCCTCGAAACCATCTTTAGGGAAGTTTTGGTCAAAAGCATACATACAAAACATCTGATAAGCTTCATATGCTGATGGAAACTCCACCTTGTAAATATGGTTGATGCCATGTGCCTTCAAAAGCCGTTGGTCTTGTGTTGTGATGATAATCCGACTTCCATGACCGAACCACCGAGTTTCTTTTGCGATAGCATCTAGTTGTATTGATTGATCAATGCTATCAAGAACAATAAGCACCCTCTTGTCGTTCAACCTATCTTGTGCAACTCCTAAATGAG